TCCATATCCAATTATATTCAAAAATATTACATTGGCTCATGCCACATCAACAAGCGACTTGGAATATGCAAGGCTCTGACAGTCATGGAAAACCTGGAAATAACAGGGAAAGTTTTATAGTGAATAAACATTCCTAGTTATGTTCAGTTTAATTACTAGAAATATCATGGAGAACCCATTCAAATTTGCCGGTTAAAAAGTGTGGGAATGCTAAGCATGCTGCTAGAAGAGAGAAAGTCATATACACTCTGAGAAAAAAAGGTGCAAAAGCTGTCACCTTTCTAAAGGTACTTCTTTTGTACTTTATTTACCCCTAAAGCGTGCATATTAGTGGGTGAACCATCCCTTTAAAGGTACACATTACTGCCTAAATGGTACATATTAGTAGGTTTTGAAAGAGTACTGTCCCAGTGACAGCTTTTTTACCTTTTATTCTAATAGTGTAGGTTTGGATTGACGAGGGTGAACTAAATCTGTAAATGATCCTTTATATTAGACTGTCAATTTATTTCTTCCTACAAGAAGTAAAAAAAATTATCAAAATGTGCTTTCCTTCCCAGAAAAGCCATTTGGAAGACAATCCGTTCTTTGTCAGTTCCGATTTAATGTCACAAAAGCACTCAAAGATGACACGACTCACCTCAACAACACTTTGAACAGTCATCCACTCAAAAGATGATTGGAAATCTGATATAATTTGCTGTGCTGCTGGTGCTTTAAAGGGGTCATATGATGCGATTTCAAGTTTTCCTTTCTCTTTGGAGTGTTACAAGCTGTTCGTGAATAGATAAGATCCCTAAAGTTGCAAAGACTAAAGTCTCAAAACCAAAGAGATATTCTTTATAAAAGTTAAGACTCGTCCACGCCCTCCTAAAACGCCTCGTTTAAACACGCCCCCACATGTCTACGTCACTGTGTGGGAAGATTTGCATAACACCGCCCAAATGTTCACGCAAAGAAAGAAGGCGCAACTTTGATTCTCGCTGTAGTATTGTTGTTGCCGCCGCCGCCATGTTGTGGAGACGCTGTGTGTTTCGTTGTGAAAGCGAAACTACTTTGTTTGGCCTTTCAAAAGAGGACACAACTAGACATCAGTGGTTAAGTTGTATTTACAATACTGTCCCAGAACAGTTCAAACCAAATATTCAGATGTGTGCAGCACATTTTACGGAGGACAAGGACTGTTTCCTGATCCTGGGAGAGTAGACTACAATGCCGGTGTTCTGACAAATAATGCTGACTCACAGCCTGTAAGTACGTTTTCATATTTAAAGGATTTGCCACTGATGATTCAAACGCGAGTTTTGAGCAGTGTAGAGCAGTGCTAGTTGTTTGTCATTTCTCTGATCACAAATGCAGACATGGTTTTATGTTTACGCGGCGCGATGCAATACGTAAAAAGACAGTATAAGTCATTATAATCCGTAATTATGTCCCCACTGGATGCTACAAATGCCTCATTTGTAATGGGTTTTATTAGTTTTGTCTCGTCACACAGCATCACAGTATGGTAAGGGGCGTAACATTTCTGTCACACGCTTGAGGTATTCGGCCAATCATAACGCACTGGACAGCTGGCCAATCAGAGCACACCTCGCTTTTCAGATGATGAGCTTTGTAAAAAATCAACGTGTTTCAGAAAGGCGGGGCATAGAGGAGAAACAATAATGTACAGTATGTGGAAAATAATGTTTTTTTTAACCTTAAACCGCATAAACAGATTTCATTACACCAAATAATGTTATTTTTTAGCAAGTCATATGACCCCTTTAAGAGGGATTTCTGGAATGGTGTTGTGTACTGGCTGTTCTGTATTCTACAGGGCTCATCAGGATTCGTCCTGAACGCCCCCAACATCACAAGCCTCTCACATACACCAGCCGACCCGCAACACTTCCTCACACACTACAAAAGCAAGTGAGTCATGTCTGACTGTCTCTGTCTCGTCCTGGTACTTGACTGGCAAAACTGATTGCTCATTTATTTAATCTGACTGTCTGTGCCCTGTAGACATGGGCAACTACTGCATTACATTGTTTCAAACCTGGGGGTTCAGTGGGTTCTCATTGGCTGCTGGAGGAACGAATGTGTTCTGATTGGTTGCTGGGTGGATGAGTGTGTTCTGATTGGTTGCTGGGGAGATGAGTGTATCCTGATTGGTTTAAATTAGGTTTTCATCCTTATAATTGTTGCAGGTTTTGTGACAAATCATCAGTGGGGCAGCAGAGATCTGAGTGGGTGAGAGGAGGCATACAGAGACAAAGAGAGAGTGGGTTCAGTGGACGAGACACGGATAGGTACACACATAAACACATCATATACATGTATTCTTTCTTGTACACCTGAATACCTGTTAATAACTTCCACTGTTTGTCTCTCTCTTTCACACAGGTTTAATCTTAGTGGATCTAATGTCCTGGCTTCACAATAAATCTGAAATATTCATTTAAACTTAATACTGTCCAATTTAGCTTGATCATCTCTATCTTGGCATTTTCAGACAAAGTTATATTTCTTATGTTTAGAGGTGTTCGCTAAGCATCACAACAATTCTGGATCATATAGGGTTAGTGATTTTAACAAAGCCTTAACACTATGAAAGGCATGAACACTTAGCAACACCCTGGCAACATTTTAGCACACACATACATGTGTCATAACTTGCTTCACAACCGTTAAAAATATGTATGTTTATAGTATATAGTATATAAAATTTGGACGTTCTGTTTTCGCCATGTTGTTGCTGTCATGTGACCTACGGCGTCAGTTGCATCGCTTCATTGCTGTTCACAAATCCTCTCCTGTGGCCTCATGGGATAGTAAAGTGTCCATCAGATGCACACTTAAGAATCTCACCAGAGAATTTTCACCTACTATTTTATGAATACTATGAAATCGGACATACTACTTGGCGCACATACTGTTTTTCTCCTAGTATATAGTTTGGAAGTAGGCATATTCTGAATATTCTTAAGTAAATCTGAAAATCTAGTTCTCACACTGCGGTTTTCTAGCCTTGCAATTACACTTTTAATGGCTTACAGTGTAAAACCAACCAACTGGCATATACAACATGCAAACATGCCCTACTTTTGAGCAAAATCCTACGCGCTGGATGGTCCATCCTCTAGTGCTGACACGCTGTCACAATGGCTCGGATTACATTTCTGACACCAGATGACTTCTGCTGAGATCTGGCAGTGACAGAGATATTAATGTGAGCGCCAGTAACACGGCTATGAAGTTTCAAGCGCCGCAGAGGCGGTCCAGCGCTCATTCACGGCTTGCTATGCGGCTGACCTTGGGAGAATGGCGTTAACGTAAACTAGCAGTAAGCTGCAAAATGATTAAGCACAGACACTATGTTCTCCTCTTCAGACCTGGACTGTGTCAGAGCACTCAACCACTCCGCAGATACTTGATACTTGCTGCCTGAGGATCCAGGGCTAACGGCTATGCCACAATCTCTGAGACGGACTTATGCCTTTAGAGATGGCATATAATGAGCAATCAAATTGAGATAAAAGAGATTGGCAGTGGTTTCTCCAGATGAACTCTATAATTCAAAACAATTATTTCATTCTTGAACTTATGCATTTGGGAACAAAGAGTTTTGAGAAATAATACGATTTTTTTCTTAAGAATGTGAATAAGGACTGTATTCATCAAGCTACAAAAATAAAAAAGCACCTTAAAATTATCAGAAAAGTGGCCCATATGATTGTGTTATATTGCAAGTCTGAAGCCAAATTGTTATTCGCTGAAAATCTTTTCCTAGATTTCCCATCATAATCAATAAAGTCGTCTAAACTTCTTGCAGTGGAGACACCTTCTTTGATTAAGGTTGGTGTGATCTAGTTTGCTTTGCATTGTGTCGCATGGCTTGCTTGCGGTGTTAATTGGGTGTTAAACACTATTTTAATTTTTATACCGTCACCCAACCCACAAACCTGCTGGATCCATTACAGCCATTGCTCTGGGACCTCATAATTTACACATTAAGCGCTGCTCTCTCTCAGTCTTTCTCCCAAAACGTCACTGACTAAGTACCCGGGCCTTTTATGGATTGTACCCCCACTATTATTCTTTCCCTGATGTTTCTCTTCTGTCCGCACGCCTCCTCTCTGACTTTCACACATCGAGTCCTTCAAGCTTAAGACGAGAGAGAACATTTACTTCTATTTGTGCTAACTTGGCTAGCTCTTCCCATCTGTCTCAGATCATGTCAGCATTGTTCCACAGCCGGACATATAGGATTCTCCGAGTCCGACAAGACATGAATCACTGAAACATATTTGGCAAACTCATTGGTTATTTAATAAGAGAATATTTGATTTCACCAACACACATCGCTGCAATTGCAGCATCAAGTTTCTTATAAACAGTACACTCGTGTCAGGGTAGAGTTCCAGACACACTTTCACACACAAACAAAAATGCCTGAGCCCTGCTCTTAATTAGAAATACACAGCACACAGTAATAATGTTTTTTTGAAGCATGAAAAAGTTGTGCAGTTTCACAGGTCTTCACAGTTGATTTTTACAAATGACAAGTCTTAAAATCAATAAACCCTGTAATTATTGAAGAGAGCCCTGTGTTTGAGGATTGCAGTAATTGTCTGGCCAACAATAAATGCCTTCTAATAACAGCAACACTCACTTAATACTTAAGCTGTATTTTATAAGTTGTGTTACAGATTTTCATGTTTCCTGAGCCATCATTTACTCACCCTAAAGTCATTCCAAACCTGTATTCCTTTATGCAGAGTGTAAATGAAAATATTTTGAAAAAACATTACAGTGTTTTCTTTTGTCTATACAATTAAAATCAATAGGGAACGATATAGTTTTGGACCCCATTTACTTTCACTGAATGGAGAAAAAAAATTGTCAAAATATCTTTTTTTGTGTTTCACAGTAGAAAAAGTCATACAGATTTTGAACAACATGAGAGTGAGCAAATAATAGCAGAATATTGATTTTTGGGTATTGTTTTTAAACTTGACCTTTCATTCAACTTTCCAACCAATCAGACATAATTTAATATTAATGTTAGCAGATGCTTTTTATTAGAGTGACTTGCAGTCGCTTTCATTGCCCCATAAAGTATCCTGGGGCTACTTAAGTTACATTTTTGGGGGCACATCATCGGGATTGAACCTGCAACCCTTGCAGTAACACCTCAGATGCTTAAAACGGAAGTGTGTAGCGTCCGCACCAAATTAATTGCAAAAATAATGACTGTTGGTTAAAACAATTGGCTGCTAAAATAAACTGCAACTCTGTTTGCAGATATTACACACTTCAGATTAAATAAGTAGACTACCATGACCCACAGGTGCAAGGATCAAGGTTATTCTCACTCCTCCCCTTCATATTCATAGTCCATTTCTTCGCTCTCATACTCTAACTCCGCCCCCTCGTAGCCTTCATACCCCTCCCCCTTGCAGATTAGCTCCTCCCTTTCATACTCCAGACCGCCGTAGTCATAACCAAGCCCCGCCTCCTCAAACGCCACACATTGTCTCTCAGACTCTGCCCCTCCGTCATTATTTTGTGGTCCGTTCTCATCCCCAGTTGGGGTTGTTGATGCAACCGACTCATTTGTTTCCTTCTCCTTAGCAGCTGCCAGGTTAAGGGCGGAGTTCATTCGGAGTTTCTTGAGTATTCCATGAATGACCGGACTAGCTGCCGTGGCCGCTGCCTCCTCTGCTTCCTTCTCTGCTCGTTCTTTTGCATCTCTCCTTCTCTCTCTGGTCTGTAACACCTCCTCAGCTCCCTCCCCGACTACAAGCACCTCCTCCCCTACACGCGGTGGCTCCTTCACAGGGTTGTGGTCGTAGGAGAGGAGTCGCAGCGCGGGTAGATGATGCAAGTTTGGGAACTCTGATATCCGATTGCGGTCCATGTCCAGAATCTCCAGCTGCTCCATCTTGAGGAGCACTCGCGGAAACTCCTGAAAGCGGTTTCCATACAGCCAGAGTCCTCTCAGGGACTCCATGCGCCATAGGTCCGTGGGAAGCGTGCGCAGACGGTTGTCCCCAATCTGCAGTGAGCGTAAATTGGGAAGGTCGTACAACTGCTTGGGGAATCGCTGGAAGTAGTTGCTCTCCACCCAGAGGCAACGCAAGTTCTGCAGGTTCCTCACTTCTGGTGGGAGGCTCATCAGCCGGTTGCTTCCCAGGTAAAGACACGTGAGATTAGTCAGCTGGCACACCGACAGAGGAACGTCATCAAGCTTATTGAAGTCGAGCGCCAGGGTACGCAAACCCTGCAGCCGCGTGATACCCTTAGGGATGTCGCGGAGACGGTTTCCACAGACGTAGAGCTTCTCCAGGTACTCCAGATCCAGGACTTGACGAGGAAGGCGACGGAATTTGTAGTAGCTCAGGTCCAACACTGGATCTCCCCTCTCCAAGAGCTTGTCAACTCCGACCGGCAGCTCCACATCCTCCATGACCTCGTTGTCTTCTTCTTTTTCAGCCGTTTCCTCCTCTCCCTTTTCTTTAACCTTCTTTTCCTCTCCTCCTTCGTCCTGGGCCTCTTTTCGGGACGAGTTGCCCATACCCTCGGCCGGCTAGCCCGGCACTTGTCTGTGTGTGTCGTGAGAGTGTCTTTCAGGACGGGGTAAGAGGGTGAGGTGGTCTGTGGGGCTGGCCCCCCCTCCCCGTGTCAGTTTCACTCAGTAGGATTGACCCGGCAGTGACAGAGCCAGCACAGCGACACATGGTGCTCTGACTACAGGCGGCTTCCCCTCAGTCCGAGTACAACGAGGTCCAACGTCAGTAAACAAGGCAGCGATTCCAGCAAGGAGCCATTCTGGGTGTTTGTGTCGATTGCTTCGTGTACTCTTTATAAAATGATATGCTATAGAAGAGATTATAATCATAATAGTAATAGTAGTAGTTGTAAAGATAAGTATAACTGTAACAGGAAGAAAGCTTAATTTTGTCTCTGTAATGTAAACTCAGTTAACAGATGAGTGTCAAAGTAGCTGTCAACATTTGCATATTAATTACGCACCGTTTTCATAGTCCATTGGTTATTTATTTAGTCATTTTTAAAGTGTATAATAAGCATGAATTGACTCACATTACAGCTACAAACTTTCCCAGCGCGTTTCAGTAGTCTGTGTGAACGCTGGTGCTGAGCGTCTCTCTGCCGACACACACAGCTCTTGTCCCGGCAGCCTCGCTCTGTGGATCCCGGTCTCTCGCTTTGACCTGGCCGGCGGCAATGTGAACCGAACCGGTGATACCAAACTGTAACTCCGGGTTGCTTGGTTCTAAATCAGACCAAAATCCTCTGAGATGTCAGTTTAAAATTTCCAGAAACGATGTCTGTATTTCTGTCCGACGTTGTGCGTTTAAAGCCGTCTCGCGTTTCTCTCTCTCTCGGTGTGGCGTTTGCGTAAAGCGTTGCCATGGACCGTCTCTCTCCCCTAGCAACCGAAACAGGGACATGAGAGTTACACACGATTGTCACGTGGTCCGGGTGGAGAGAGGCGGTCAAATTCCTCTATTCCAAGTTCACGTTATGCAATGCAGAAACGTATTTGTTATTGTTAAGTGGCATTATTATTAAGTAAGGTGTATGAAATATTTATTATATTTATCAATATTAAACATTCTTTAAAAACGTGATTGTGAACTTTTAAATTTTAGTTTTTGTTGTTTTATAATTCATAAAGGTTTTAAATAACTACTTTAATATTTAATATATTAAAATACATGTATGTGTACACATATAGGTTTTATTTATTTACATATACACTTTATTGTTTACATTTATTTACATGTGCACATAATAAAATAGATTTTATTTTATTTTTTATTAATAATAAAAGCATACATTTAATGCTTTATATAAAGGAGATATATGTGACCCTGGAGCACAAAAGCAGTGTTAAGTTGCACGGGGAAATTTGTAGCAATAGCCAAAAATACATTGCATGGGTCAAAATCATAGATTTTTCTTTTATGCCAAAAATCATTAGGATATTAAGTAAAGATCATGTTCCATGAAGATATTTTGTAAATTTCCTACTGTAAATATATCAGAACGTTTTGATTAGTAATATGCATTGCTAAGAACTTCATTTGGACAACTTTAAAGGCGAGTTTCTCAATATTTTGATTTTTTTAGCACCGTCAGATTCCAGATTTTCAAATAGTTGTATCTCGACCAAATATTGTCCTATCCTAACAAACCATGCATTGGAAAGCTTATTTATTCAGCTTTCAGATTATGTATAAATCTCAATTTTGAAAAATAGACACTTAAGACTGGTTATGTGGTCCAGGGTCACATGTTATTATGAATTATTATGAAAAGTAGCTATTTGGTGCAATAAATAAACTGTAGGCACAAAATCCGAAGTAAAATGGTTTGTGTCAGCAAATCAACTGCAACACAACTTTCTGTACTGCTCAGGATGTGCATAATAGCATATCTACACAAAATAAATAAACAAATGTGCAGTATTTTAAAGGTGGCACAGTGAGGACAGACAGACGAAGGCTGAACAAACTGCTAATTTTAGTGAGATGATTCACACTCGGCTCTTCTGCTCTGAAAATAACATTCAAAACTACATCTGAATGAAGTTCACTCCATGGACCGTCTTCCAAGAAATACATGGCCTGTTCAAAATTGAATGTACTATATTGATCTGTAAAGCATTATATAATGTTTGTTATTGGGTTATTTAATATGAAGTCAGACTAGATTTATGTCATATAGACATGAGTCTTCTTATTATTATTTGTGGTGTTGCACATACTGATAAGTGTCTAAATTACTCTGCCCTATATAGGTGTTTTTCTGCTGAAGTGTTGATGTAATGCATCAAAGTTCAGCCTTGATGTTCCACGGTGTCAGAGCAGCACAGACCCCCCTAGTGGCCTGCTCACTTCATAGACCTCTGAACCTGATGCTGAGTGAGCAAGTGCTGAGCTTCAGGTCAGAAATCAGGCTACACCAGCTGCCTTTAAGATTTTCACTCATTATGAGATGATATTTCTCATTTGAAATCTTCATATAAATGTTCTAACTTATGCACAACCATATTTTCAAGTCTTCTTTTGTGATGTTGTCCATTATTAAACGGTGGCAACTCACACGGTTGATTTCCATGGGGTTTTGGTAAAGTTTATTCACTTTATAACCACATTTCATGTTTTAGGGATCATAAAGGTTTTTCACTGGTGGGCAATATACGTTTTGGACAACATGAACACTCATTGGAGCTCAAAACTGGGAGTTCAATCCATAGGAAGTTGCGTGTTTCTTCCCAGACATTGTGATGCAAACTATAGTTAAAACATTTGACTCGATATTAAAAAGTCACTTTTGTGGTGTTTGAAGTGGATAAAGGTGAATAATTGTACTAAATATCTTCCATCTTCTGCCTGCATGATTTTATGAATTTATGAAGGTCAGGGCTGTAGCAACCATTACAACTGTTTTTATGATGGATGCATTTAGAACCAATAAAAGCAATGTCCAAATCACTTTTAGAAATCAGAAAGAAGTCACAATTGATTAGGATTACTAACCTAATTAAAATTCATGAGCCAAGCTGATCATTTTTATAACGTGTCCCTGCATTGACAACCCTATGATGGAGGACAAAGGTTTTGCAGTGCTTTTGAAACATTTCAGGTCAATATGACATTTATGTATTGCTTACATATGATATACAGGTTTATTGAATCGATGGGAAAAGATTGTTATTTTTATTCAAATGTACAGATATAGGCCTATCCAGATATACATGAGCTACCTCTAATTATTTTACAGGTATAGAGAGAATTTTTTTTTTTTTTCATTCTTAAGTTTAGCTGAAAATTACGTCTGCAAAAATGTTGGTAAAATAATTGTGAACTAAAGGGAAAGTAATGCTGCAGCTGCAAAATATTCTTTTATGCATCTCTGTTCCTGCAAATGAGCATTTATGAGCATGTAGGCCTAATTATCTTATCTTATTTTATTATAGGCTTTATCGGAGAAAAATGTATTCATAGATGTTAATACAACTTGTGAATACAAATTGTGACGGATGGTAAAACGCAGCTGTAGAAAATCAGCAGGTTCAGAATAAGTCTGCAGTGTTTCAAAAAAAGTCCAAAGTTCTTCTTTTTTCATTTGAAACGTTTAACAGTCAGATCAGTCCCAAATGTGTGCCTATATCACGTGCTAATATGCATAGAGAATTGTCTTCTCTATGCAAAAGTTTCTTCCCCAGGCAACCTCATGAAGAGTTAAATGTTCTCCCCTACTGTTCAATAAAAAGATGTGCAATACCACATTTATTTACTCAATGCTACCCTAATTCCATTCCTTGTCAATTCTATTCTATTCCATCTATACACCACAACTGTACATACACATTTTGTCTATTTCTGTTTATATTTATACATTTACAGTATATTTCTTATTATCTGTGTGTTGTTGTTGTCGTGTACTGGAAGCTTCTGTCACCAGAACAAATTCCTTGTATGTGCAAACATACACTCTAAAAAATGCTGGGTTAAATACAACCCAGTGCTGGGTAAAATAGGGACAAACGTTGCAATTGGGCTGTTTTGACCAAGCGGTTTGGTTAAATGTTTAACCCAACCTTCTGGGTAGTAACCCAACCGCTGGGTCAAAACAACCCAATTGCAACGTTTGTCCCTATTTTACCCAGCACTGAGTTGTATTTAACCCAGCATTTTTTAGAGTGTACTTGGCAATAAAGCGCTTTCTCATTCTGATTCTGATTCTGAATTCTGAATTCATTGAACTGAATTGCAGCTGATAAATTTGGTTTTGGGCATTACAGTGTGGCATGTGGTGACTGCATGTATCAGTTTATAACTGATGTTCATAAATAATATAACCTTGATGCCAACATATCTAAAGTATTGAAATATTCTTTCAATTTAAAGTCCAAATCCTGTCCAAGTTGTGTTTTTAAAAACAGCAGGATATAGATTTTCACTCAAAATGATAAGGAAACTCGTACTTTTTATTGTCAAAAACATATTTTTACAGCATTCTAGAGCAAGATGCAACATGCATTGTCTCCAATTCAATTTATGTCACTGTATTATTACTCATTTTCACTATGAATGGTAAGGTACATTTCTTATCAACAATAATGTAGCATTTTTACATTATATTTCATAAATAATATCACTGATGTTGGTTTAGTATGACTGCATTTTGCCGGTTGGATGTGGGACTCGAACCCAAGTAACTCTTCTTTATCTCCTTTAGCTCTCTCCCCTCCCTTCCAAAGTTCTCTCTCTCTTCCTATTGGCTGATCGTTCGCGAGACTGGTGCAGAGACGCGCGCTGATTGGCTGGTGGCGCTCGAATGATCTGTTCGGAATTCAGCAGAAGTACAAGTGATGAAGAGTGACGCTTCTCTTTCTCATCACACACTAACCTAAAGAGTGTGTGATCAAAGTGTCGCAGAGACGGTGAGTGAATTATTGAAAGTTGAGACTCAGTGCATGTTCTTTCTTTCTTTCTTTCTTCTCATGTTATGTATCATAATGGATGCTTACATGCATTGACATCATACGTTCATTTTCTTTAATGAAAAGAGATGCTTTTTCATTTTCAATGTAGTATTTAACAGTTTATTCATTTGAAATGTTCAAATAAGCCGTTTCTGAAGAGTTTAGAGTTGATTTTTGCTATGCTTTTATCCCTGCTTTGTTTTGCATGTTAGTTTGTCATGCAAATTGAAAAAAAAAGAAAGAAAAAAACACGAACAGATGTGACTAACGTAAAATAAGAAAGCAAGCAAAATCTTCCGGTACGTGTATTTCAGCACGAGCCTTCTGGTTTCCTTTGCATAATAAATGAGGTTATGTGAGCATTCATTGTCTCATTCCTAAACAAAGACCAGGGTTGTATTTCAGTGCCCTATAAAAAGAAAATTGAAAATTGTGTTATTTCAGCCTGGCCTGATCCTAAAACGACTTTCATTGGTGTAACCTAATGTTGTCAGGTTGATTCTGTAATATATTACTTCATATTTTTTGACTTGAACAAAATGCATTTAAATGTTAAGCTCATGTTAGGTTACCTGACAAAACATTTGTGACCCTGGAGCACAACATTTTTCAAAATTGAGATTTATAAATCAGCATAGGACAATATTTGGCCGAGATACAACTATATGAATATCTGGAATCTGAGGGTGCAAAAAAAAAATCTAAGTATTGAGAAAATCTCCTTTAAAGTTGTCCAGATGAAGTCCCTAGCAATGCATATTGCTAATCAAAAATTAAGTTTTTATATATTTACGGTAGAAAATTGACAAAATATCTTCATGGAACATGATCTTTACTTATTATCCTAATGATTTTTAGCATAAAAGAAAAATCTATAATTTTGACCCATGCAATGTATTTTTGGCTATTGCTAGAAATATCCCCGTGCAACCTATGACTGGTTTTGTGCT